GGGGGGGGGGGGGGGGGGGGTCGACCATCTTCTGTTCTTAACTTTGACCCAGTGTCGCTGCTCTTGTTTGTCTTTAAACATAACGACCGAATCAGAACGATCCATGAGAATCCACCTTTTACACCTTTAACAGCAAATCATGTTTTAATCCTGACATCTGTAAGAATCACTACACCTGTTTTTCAAAAGCTTTAGGATTTGATTTTTGCCTTAATAAGACACGTGCTCTGTGTTCCCACGCAGACAGATCCACTGCATATCATGTAGAAATGTTTCAAACAGAATTTTGAAATTCCCTGGTGAAAATCAAGCTTTCAAACAAGTTAACATGTCCGCCTTTTTATGATAGAATACAAACTCTGAGCAAAATAAGCGATCGCCATGTCAGCGTGAGTATTTCCACCTCAACACTGCAGGAAACAAAAGGACAAAGAGAAAAACTACCAAAACAAAACCTTTCAAAAGTGAAAAGAGAGATAAAGATAGAAAATAAATAAAGATATGAATCGAGCTCTTGCAGCTGTGCAGCAAAATTGTGATTTGGTTTAAAGAAATTATAAAAATCCAGGTTTTTTTCTCGTTGGTGTAGAATGATGGTGCATTCACTAGTGCTGACTCAAACAGGAAACAGTTGTAGCTATGCAAGATACAATTGTTTGTGGGATGAGACATTTGAAGAATAAATTTCTTATTCTCAATCTAAATGAGTTGATGCACATGTTCTTTTTACCATGCACCTTATACTGAAACATGTGACGTGACTGATTACATGTATGTGCCGCTCCTCTCGTCGGACTCACTCTCTCCATCCTTCTCTCTCCTCTTTAGTTTTTGGAGACTTCAACCAAAATGTTTCTCGCAGCTCGGCAGCAGATTCCAGGATCTTTAAACTCAGGTAAAGACTCACGCTACGTGCTGACTGTCCCAGCTCAGTAAACCGATGCTGTGTATTATGGGATGTTTGAGATGTGTGTGTCATTGAAGTAGCAAAGTTTAAGCAGAAATCTGTTTTTAAATCTTACTTTGCTGAGAATGATCACAGCTTTCTACAATATGCAAATGTCTCGTTGCCAAAATATCAGAATCAGTTTGCAACAAAACATTTTGATCAATGCTCAGAAACTACCTGTGTGAGTACATGGAGCCTGTCATGTGACAGAGACACAGGAAGCACCAGAGACGGCTGCTCTGAGGGGAAAACAAGGAGCTGCCACAAAACCTCAGGGGGAGCGGGCGTCTCCCTTTCATGTCACTGCGATCCAGACAGAAATGTGAATTATGAAGAAGCTCAACAAGAAACTGAGCCACAATAAAAAGACATATGATGTTAAAAACATCCTGCAGACAAAAAAACATCGTAAAACAATTCAATGTCACTGCTCAGTCCCACAATGCATTTCCCTGTATGCCACTAAAGTCAATGCTCACTTGTACTTTCGACATTTTGAACATGAACGTGTCTTTTTTAAAGATTCTTTCTTGATTTAAAAAATAGAAATTAGACTGGGAAATGGAAATCGTGGTTCTGCTCCTAGAGGAATTAACAGAACTCAAGCTGACTCAATTCAAAGTCTTCCATTGCATCCACTATTCAAAAGCCCATTTCTTTCAAATATCAGTAGACATCACTGATATGAATAAGAATATATGCTGTTCTACTTCTGGTTTGACTGTACATGTACTTTATCACATCACAGTTTGGAAAAGTTGCCTCATGCAAACAAAACTTCATTATCAGTGCGCGTAGTTTCATTTAACTTAAATACCCCTGACCATTCCCTTCGACTTCCGACCTCCCTCCACAGACACGGCCCAGCTGCTGGTCATCGTTTCTGACGGCAGGGGGCTCTTCCTGGAGGGGAAGGAGCGGGTGACGGCAGCAGTGCGAGCAGCTCGCGGCGCAAATGTGTTTGTCATCTTCGTGGTGCTCGACAACCCCAACTCACGGGTGAGAAACGCAAAAATTCGGCTTCACTTGTATTTTACTTCTCCGTACACAAACTGCAACTAAGCTGCGTTTTTTTTTTCCGTGTCGCGCTGCAGGACTCCATCCTCGACATCAAGGTCCCCATATTCAAAGGACCGGGAGAACTCCCAGAGATCCGCTCCTACATGGACGAGTTCCCCTTCCCCTTCTACGTCATCCTGCGAGACGTCAACGCCCTTCCAGAGACGTTGAGCGACGCTCTCAGGCAGTGGTTTGAACTCGTCACGGCAGCCGACCAATGAGAAGCCCTCTTTCTCACAAAGGGAGAAGTGTGCGGCGTCCGACTGCACCAAAATGCACCACTCTGCTGCTAAGCTTCTCAGTCAGAACTGTAAAACAACCAACCAGAAGACGGATTTACCGCTGTACATGTGCCTTTATTTTCTTATTTTTACTGTAGATTTTAGTAGAGTTTAATAGCAACCTTTGCTGTTTTATCTTTGTCATCAGAAGAATCGTGTTTCTTTTGTAACGTAACGAGGATTGCTTTAACTTGCACGTCTCCGATGAAATGATAGAAGTAAAAACTTGTGAATTCATTGCGTGTGAACCACCTCAGTGAAGAGTCAGTAAATACCTCTGTCCACCTTGTACAATCCCCCCCAAACCGTTTGTGTGGATGTGACAGTCGGTGCTGCAGAGATCATCCGAACCATACATGTGAAGCGTGAACACGGCAGCTGTACAGAGCTGTGCTTTGTGAAAACGGACGTCACGGCCTGCAGTAGCATGTTGTCGCGGCCGTGACCGACGCTCGGAGGAACTCAAAAATGTGCCTTGGGGAGGAGAACGGTGTTGCATCTCTCTCCACAGCTGGATCAGCTGCTGGTTGACGGGTCAGAGGCACGGCCACAGCTCTGTCACAGGTTTTTATAGAAACTCAAATCTCATACACTTTAAAGCACAACCGCGGTTCCGCAGATGCCAGTTTTAAACGAATGCCCCAGTATGAACCAGTTTTTGTGGTTTGAAGACGACATATCTGCCGCGTTGGTCTCAACAACTGCTGAACGAACAGCTCATCACCGTGTCTGTTAGGAGTAGATGGAATGTTTATCATCACCTCTGTGTTTCGTAGCATAAACGTACGTGTCAGCAGACTCTGGCCATATTTAAGAGCATCCATCTGTTAAATCATGACACGAATGATCCTGACAATAAACAGTTTAAAAAGCAGCTCTGTCTCTGCTCGTGCTCATTGTATTATTGTTCCTCATACAACAACAGTAGACATTCTGACGTAGGAGCAGCAGGTTTCTCATGTAGATACAAAATGTTCTGTTGATAAATTACAAACTCTCTGTCTCATAAAGAAAAGATATGACAGATCTGAATGTGCACGGTTACAGTCAGTAACATTATCATTACCCTGGAGACTCCTGAAGAACACATTTTATCTGACAAGCAAGCCTGGGTACGGAAGCCCTAAAGTACGGAAGCCCTAAAGGGTCATACATACATACATTTTATTCCACCCGTTTTCTCGTGATAACGAGATAATTTTCCTCCGTTTTCTGGAAGGATTATCTCGTTATCACGAGAAAACGATCTTTGTTATATCGAGATAACGAGATAATAAAAAAAAAAATCGAGGGCGGTGATCGGTATTCTCCTGCTCCTCGGACATTGCTACACTAAATGATGTTTCCTGCAATGATTTAATACGTTTTGTTTTCCTCGAGATCTCGAATTAATTATCTCGTTATCACGGGAAAACGGGTGGAATAAAATGTATGTATGTATGACCCTTTAGGGCTTCCGTATTTAGGGCTTCCGTAGTATAGCACCAAAAGACACAATATACATTAAGGCACGTTACATAGAAGGTCAAGACCTTACAAATAACAGTGAAATCCAACAGTTCCCACCATGAGCAGCACAACTCATTCAACCACTCAACCCTCATTAATTGGAAGAAACCTCCAGCAGAACCAGACTCAGTTTGGGGTGAGCCGAGAAAAATGGGGAGGAGAGGTGGGTGGAAAAGAGGGGAGAGAAGAGAGAGATAGGGAGGAGGAGAGAGACCAGGAACAATGCATCATCAGGGTTCATCTCTGACAGACTAGGTGTTATAATGAAAACAATAAGAGTGACAATTATGGATGTAAACATGTTATTAATGATAGCAACAACAATTCATATAATATAATAATAGTGGTCTGCATCCTGCAGCTCTGGAGTCACAGATAGAGAGAGACACAGGGAGAAACTACAAGTCAATAAGTCAATCAGTCAATATTCAATCCAAACCTGATGCATCTGAATATTCTGTGGTCACTTCTCTTGTCATTGCTCAGCCTGTTGCAGAGTTCTGCTGCTGCTCTCCTCCGCTCCACTAGAGGGCGCTGAACACCGAGTTAAGCAGTAGGTTACCGTCATCACAACATCCGCCCGTGTCCACACGCTCAAAGATGGCGGGTCCCAGGTTGCCTTTAGCTGCCCTCTCTCTGAAACAGGTGAGTTTAACATTATTTCCCGCATGTTAGGTTAGAAAACTGATCCTGACACAGCTCCCGGTGACATGTCAGCGACCACACTCTTCTTTTTGTCCGCGTGAGCTCTGAACATTTCACCCTCGCGTGACCTGATGATTGATCCATGTGGTCAGAGTAACAACTGAGACATCGCCATGCAGCTCTGATCTGCAGCCGCCCTTTAAACCCAACTGTCTCACCTTCGTGTTTAATGCGTGCGCTCTGATCTGACGTTCTCATGTCCTGGTTCTCATCACAAGACAAGTGATTTCACTGTCAGATGCGATGTTTGTCCAGGACATGAGGAGAAGTCTCTTCTAAACCACCAGTGCTAGCGTCACTTTAAAGCTCCAGTGTGTAAGATTTAGGTGAAAGGATCTATTGGCAGAAATTTAATGTAGAATAATCCTCATGATGTTTTCACTAGTTCGTTTCATCTAAATTGTATGAACTGTAGTTTTCTTTACACCAGAAAAGGCCCTTTATATTTAAATACTTTATATTTAAATACTTTATATTTACATGGAGGGGGTCCTCTCTACGGAGGCCGCCATGTTTTTTACATTAGTCAAGACTAGGGTTGCAAAGGAGCGGAAAATTTCCGGTAAATTTCTGCAAACTTTCCATGGGAAGTTAAGGTGGGGAATTTTCGAAATATTCCAAATTGGAAACTTTCCATGAGAATTATGGGAATTTATGTGAATTATTGGGAATTTATGTGAATTAATTGTAAATTGGGGGTAATTTAAACAAACTGGATCATATCCAAATATAAATGTAAGTATTTTCGTTTTGTCATAAGCAGACATCCATGCAAAGTAATACAATTAAAAAAACATTTCAACAGATTTATTTGAGTAGAACTTTAGTTTTATTTCTTGTATGAACATTTCTTTAATGAACAACAAAAACATGTACGAATGTTGAGTAGCCTCTTAAATGGTCAATGAAATGAAAAGTAGCTTACATTTAGCACCTATTTTTATTTAATAGTTCCAAGTTAAACATCAATACTATTATAGATCAAATATATTTACCCCATAATATTATCAAAACCTACTTGACTTCAGATAGTCCTCGGGCTCAAATGTGTGGCTTCAATAGTCTTGAAATCAGATGTGATGGAGGAATGCACAGTGCATGTAGGGGGTGTGGCCTCAATAGCCCTGCAGTAAGCAGTGTGCTGTGTGCATGTGATTGAGGAGTGTACGTGAAGTAAATATGGTTGTTTTAGCTAAGATTATGCTACAATATATTTTCACAAACTATATTTAAGTTCCCTGTTGAGGGCCAACCTCCAATTTTATTAAATTTTGGATTTATTCCCATTAATTCCTGTTGATTCCCATATATTCCCGTTAATTCCCATAGAAAGTTTCCAACTTTGAAAATTCCTGGAATTTTGCAACCCTAGTTGTAATAGAGCACCATTTGACGTGGTGTCGGGGTATGTTGCAGCACCACCCAGTTCTGTGAATGTTGGGTGGAGTACTTACAACATAGACTCTCTTCGGTCATCAGCAACCCACCTGCCAAATTTGAAGTTGATCGGATGAGTGGTTGTTTAGATTGAAATACAGACAGAGACATATTAGAATTTATTTTACAGAAAATTAAGGAACACAAGAAGTCTGCCTTTAAAAGGAAATTTAATTTCCTCTGTACAAAAACAGAGGTTTGTCCTAGCATCATTGATTCACGGCTCTGGACATGAACTGACTGACATATGTTCAATCTGGACCCCTCTGTTTAAACCTATGGGGAAAATGTGTCACTGTAACATTGCAATACACCACACTCAATTAAAGCACTGCTTAATAAATAATACCTGCTCCCAACCCCCCGCCCCTTAGTAATTGATGCTGACAAATCCTCCCTAATTGTGCTAAGTGCTAATTAGATCAACAAGAAATTAGAATACTTAGAAAAGGTCATATTGAATATTTGAACAACCTTGCAACGCTGTTCAACGGTTGGGTAAAAGGCCCAATACAACAGTACACATTCAGTCAGCATTTGAACAAAATGTGAGCAGTGATTGGTAGAGGACACTGATAGGGGTCGCTGTGTCAATCCAAACTATAGTGTAGGGAACAGTGAGCTCTGTTTCATTAGTGGTTTATTGTCATGGAAGTCTAAATGAGATGGTAAATGGTTTGTATTTATATAGAGCTTTTCTAGTCTTGATGAGCACTCAAAGGCCTTTACAGCACAGTTTGCCATTCACCCATTCACACACACATTCATACAGTGCAGCTCTTTTTTCAATGAGGGGCCATTTGGGTACACTTCGGCTTGCAGATGGGATCGAACCGCTGACCTTCTTGTTTGAGGACGGCCGCTCTTTTCCTGATGCACGGAAATAAATGTCATCACTCCAGCATCAAATATGTTGATCTGGATGTATTTACAGTATTTGGATGCTGCTAGTTCTGATGATCCTACTCACAGATCAGCAAAGACCGTTGTGGTATGGTTCCAAATGTTGTTGTCAAAGGATTCCAATAATTACCACAAATGGTTGTTAAAGGTGTCCCACAAGGATCTACTGCATATTCAAATTCTGCACTGTGATGTACATTTTTATACTATACAGTTTATCCAGGCAATTTTATTGATCTGCGTCTGTTCTACCAAGTCTACTCAAGAAAAAGAAAGAAAAGTGACAGACAAGGCAGGAAGCTGTGTTAATGCCAAAGTGACTGCTGTTCTCAGAGATTCCCTTTCAAGTATTTTCCCTGCCAACTAACTGGACGAAATCTTGAAGTGGTGGTTTATTATCTTTTATTATAGATGGGTGTCTGTGTTGTATTTTGGTGTATAATGAGAGGCCTAAGCAGGTGGGAGGTTCATAAGGAGGCAGCACAATGATAGTTGTGGTTTTGGTGGAAAGTATCTTTAGAATGTCAGAGAACCGTATATCTGTATAGCCTATATGTATGGTTTTGCATGCAAGCCTCATGTCCGTGTTGGTTTCCTCAGGGGTCTCCAGCTTCCACCTACAGTCCAAAGACATGCACCAAGAAGATACTGAACCCAAAATTGCTATAGATGCACTGTATGGATGGTGAATGGCAAAAACTGTCCTGTAAAGCTCATTGAGTGGTCATCAAGACCAGAAAAGAGCTATATAAATACAGATCATTAACTATGCAATCATGTGCTGCTTCAAAGTAAGCATACATTACTACACAGATGTTATCATTACCACCCCTGCCTAATTTTCAGCTAGGAAAATCCTGTAAATAGTCTGTATTTATATAGCACTTCTGTAGTCTTGATGACCATTCACAGCACCCACTTACACAGTCAAATAGTGCATCTATGGGCAACACGTTTTTCTATGAGAGCTGCACATATATCTAAAAAAACTATCCAGATTGGTAAATTGAATTAAAGGTTCAGTGTGTAAGATTTAGGTGAAAGGGATCTATTGGCACAAATTAAATATAAAATAATCCTCATGATGTTTTCACTAGTGTTGTAGCGGGTATGGTTTGAACCCAAATGCAGCACAACAGGCATGGACAGTTGGTAACAGTCTTTATTCTCAGTGGAGCTCACAGCAGATCAGGTGGCAGGCAATACAAACAGCAAAAGGCAGAGGACTTGGTCAGGGACGGAAGGCAGAGGTGATTACCAGGTTTCAGACGAGGCAGGTTAGTCAGAGACAGGCAGGGTCGGCAACAAAGAATCAGT